CAAAACCTCCCAAACTGCCACTGTTAACTTTAACCCGAAAAGTGACTGGGCTCTGGATGCGGGATGCTCAAAGTGCATCGTCTGGAACTTGCAAAATTATGTATGTATATACGCACCGCACAACGTCTGGTAGAACCTAGTGATTCGATTGCAAAAATTCCGCGTTACTCGGTATTCGAAAACTCCCGTAAAATTATTAAAAAAAACCGACTGCAGAACCGAGGCAATAACCCTAGTGATATACTGAATGAATGGTATAACCGTTACGAGTAACTTATTTTTTAAAAAATCCGTACAACTTGCAAGACTTCGAGAATACCCCTAGTACACTGCGATCCGAAACAAAAGCGATAAAGCGGTTTCAAAGTTGTAAAAATACCTATATACATACAATAAATAAAGCATGAGTGAAGTAAGGTACAAAACAGAGGTGATCAATTTACAAAATGTAAATAAGTGTAAATTAAATGTTATCCCAAAAGTGCTAATTATTATTTTTCACATAAAATTATTCCGACTTGGACCAACAAACAATCAGAAGGGGGACGTCAAGTAGTTTTAAAGTGAAATATGGCAGACGAACAAGCAGATCTTGTGGCTGGATACCCACCGGCAGGTATGTGGACTTTATGACGCTTAAAACTATTTATATTCATTTGTACATATAGCCGCCCATCGCCCGCAGTTGCAAAACCGCCTAAATCGCCGTTATGGCAAAAAATGAGATTTGGTTACCCTGAACTCCAGATATGGAGATTTATGCATAAAAATCGTGAAAAAAAATAAAAAATTTGTAAAATAATAGCTAGAGAAAATACCGCCTCTCAAGGCAATGCCTTGAAAGAGAAACCGTCTTTTTGCTCTCCTGTAAACTTCGAGTGCCTTAAGATAAGCGGTTTTGCAGAAATTTTCCTAGAACATTTCTGCATCAAAAAGAAAATTTTGAAAAAAATGTCGCTAACATCTTTTTCGGGGGTCAGCCACGATATTATTACAATGATGATGAGATATCTATATTTTTTTTTACAGTTAAGGCAGGTGGTATGCGCATTGTGCAACACAAGACGCCTACAGCCGAGCGTTCAGCAAATGATGCCGAGGATTGTACAGAATTGACGGTAAACAATTTGAAAACGTATACATACATACATACATATGTATGTTCAGATGTTCTTTATTATAATTTTAGGAAACTGCTGGTGGGAATAGCTTGTCTGTAAGCGGCGCTCCCATGAAGGGCAATATTGTGCATACACCACAGGCCGTACAGGTCGCCCATGCGCTCAAACCACCGGCGTTTGTTGCACGTAAGCCACCAATAATTATTCAACAACCGCGTAAATGAGTATGTGCCATATGTTCCTGTCGTTCAAAGCCTCAAGTTCAGCAGGGCCATAACTATAGCCAAAACAAACACAGCGGAAGCAATAACGATAACCAAAAGACCACAATAGGAACAGCAAAAACATTCTAATTCAAAGGAGCAAAAACAGAATAATTTTTAATTCCGAGCGTAGGCAACAGAAGCGCGATGCGTTAAATATATATAAGAAAATAGATATAAACAAATTATATAACAAAACTTATTAGGAAATGTACTAATTTTGTAAAACAGCGGAAAAAATCTAAAAATTCAATATTCCCGAAAATAATACCTTAAGATGTCATCTGCACTTTTTGTGTTACAAATTGCGAACCAGCCTAATGCATTGAACTTACAGAGGGCAACAACAACAATGCAAGGGGCCAACCAAATAAAGAAAAAATACGCACAAAAAGGAAGTGAAAAAAGTAACCAGCTGACTCAGTGGAGAGGGCGGGGTTGCTGGTGGAGAAGACAACAAGACTAGGTACAAGTATTGCACGCATTAAATGGGGCAGCAACAATTTAAGGAGTTTAACTGCACCTACCATCAAGATGTAACAATCAATATAAATATTAGGGTGATACAAAAATTGCGAGACAAATTGCTGATTGTGAATGAAGACGCGATCAAATATATTAAATGGCAGAACAAACGATATTAAGAAAATAATAGTAACAAAAACAAACCCTTATTTGTTAGTGTACCAGTGGTGAGGTCCAACCAAAGGGATGTGAGATCATTCGATATCTGCCAAGTGACGGGGCTTTCGCTGCGGGATGCTAAAAGGACTGGAGAGACAATAGGGGGGGGGGCGTACTGCGGGGCTTATCACCTACAAGCGTAGTACCAACACAATGGCCCTTTTCGCCTCGCCATGAGCCACACCTGGGTTTGCCTGTATAGTTACAGACTAAGCACCAATTGATAAGACCACTGTACCACGTCTGGTACCAAATCTCTGCATTCTTGAGATTTTTTTATATACTTTACTACACTTGCTCACAATAGCGATGTTTCTTTCATCTTTAATGCTCACTAGGCTCTGCTCTGGCGCGCAGCTAAAAGTTGGGTCCTGACTTTCCCATGGCCATCACACGGTGCACAACAAAATTGAAAAGGCGACGCTGCTATTGTGGTTTTCTCGTCATCACTTCTGATGCTCAGAGAGAGCTTTTACTCTGTGCGTATTCATATAAAATCTACAGAGAGCTTTGAAGACTTCCGCCTGCGGGTGCTGTTTTGAACACCACTTATGTGGCGGCACAGCACTGACGTTCGCTGCTTTTCTCTTCAAGCTGAGCTTTTCTTCACGGAATTAGTTGCCGGTAGAGCTCGCTCCTATCGGTTAAAGTGAGGGAGACGGAAACTTGCGTTGCCACGACAGTTGGGTCTACGTAACCGGAATGACCCAGATTTATATCACGCCAAGGACTGTCACTCCAGCATCATTCCCCAAAAACTATGTGGGGAATTTGTGTGGTGTTGCAACAACAACAAGACGAAAGCCTGACTTCTCTAACACTCCACAACTGGCTACCATTTACTCATCGACCGTGTAGACTTAAAACAGTGTTGTGGTGAGTGGAGGGCAAAAAAAAGACACACTATCTATAATCTATTCATCTTATCTAGACTTGAATCGTTTAAAGAAAACAGTGCAATGAAAGGATGTTTTTTGCTCTCGTTATGTTTGTTAGTTCCAAAAAAATGCAGTTACATACATACTTTCAATTGCTATCATACGACCAATGCTAACTCACAGGCGTTAGTTTGGTGACCAGAACTAGATAAACAAAACAACTTCAGGGAATTAGGCAGTATACAAAGATAAGCTTACGCAAGTGCGACAGGCTTGACAACTTATCGAATAAGGGAAACAATCAGATTATATCAGGGACCGTAACAAATACAACTTTTAATATAAAAATCGCTCTTTAACAATTATATTTTTACATTTATTTAATTACTCCTTAAATAACAGTTATTTAAAAATTTTATTTTATAAAACCAAAGTAATATTTATTTTCGATTTTTATCTAAAGCATCTACAAATAAAAGTTATTTTTGATTTTTATATTATATGTCTTAGATAACAGTTATTGAAGGCTTGTATATATAAAAATCATAAAAAAAAATTAAAAAATCTGTCTGTGATTTTACTTTTAAAAGTCATCAATATAAATCAGTCACTGACTTTCATTTTTTAAATCATTCTTATAAAAGTCTTGTGTAAGGCGTAGTCGTTTTGTTCTCCAACACCTTATCTGCGAAATATGATAAAGACTGTATATGACTAAAAAGTAAAATTCACTGTTACCTAACACATATAAAATAAAATTCAGAAGTAACTGTTCTTTGTAGATAATTTATTTAAAAATCGAAAATAACTGTTATTTGGGATTTCTAAAATAAAAATAAAGAAAATTGTTACTTTTCCTTAACTATGCATAAAAATAACAATTTGATTCTCGGTGAAAAAAGAAACCAATTGCTATGTATCACTTAGTTGTACAACATTTCCTTCACAGTGAATTTTTCAATAGCAATTTTCATCAATAACTGTTACGTCCGGTCCTTGGATTATAAACCTCCTACGACAGATTTCAAGAAAATCTTTCAAGTGCAGTTTATTTCCAGGCGGGATTGGAGTAGGGGCGGGATAGTCGAGGATAATTCCACTGAAATCTATACTTACGGGTCCAAAATGGACTGCAGTGTGGGTCCGGGGATGTTCTCCGAAGCGTAGAATGTCTCTCTCTCGCTGCGATTATCGAGCTTTGCTAACATCATCCAAGCGGAAGTACAGGGAAACGAAAGGGCCTCTAAAGAATTAGAGAGGAGTGTGAAAGGCATACATATTCTCAGGTAGCCAGGCGGCACTTTTAGTACTTGCCTTCCGGTAACAAAGTCCAAAGCAGTCAGAGATTGCTAATGTGCGTTCAGCTCGACGGCCTGTTGAACATAGGCGGAAATGAGAAGGCTGACGAGTTGGCTAAGGCCGGAGCATCTCTTGATGAATCCGAAGCTGAGACAATTAACTGTCTACTCGGATTCATAATAAGGGCACTGCATTTGCAATTCGTACGTGTGGCTGATGCACGTTGGAACAACCTTTAAACCTTCAAAACTGCGAGGAACAGACAATCAATATAATCAAATTAACAGCCGCGATAACGGGACTTTGGTACATTGGAGTTTTTCCATCCAAAATTTTAGGTAGATCTCCAAATGCACCACTACTAGCCTAAATAGATTCATCGAAAATCCAAATCGTTCGACGAAACCGAATCACTAAACCAGAAAAAATCAAAGATCTCAGAGAAAGCATATCAAAATGGTGCTATAACTAACTAACCTTGAACTGCCTGGCAGAAGCAGCGGAATTAGACCTGCTAAACCTAAAATATTTTTTTTTTTTTTGATATCAACTGTTTAAATAAGGAAGCTCAATTTAAATGAAGAAGAGGCACTAACAATGGGCTACAATGCCTCTGTGTGAATATGCAAGAACTCTCCATAAAGGACTTCTCAACCTTGCCTAACTTAACCTAAATATATCAATGAATTATTTAGTATATAAGAAGGTTGTTTAGAAGAGTTGATATTGGCTGAACTTAAGGCGTAAATAGGGCCGAAATTTATGTGTGTAACATAAAAATGCTCTCAAAGTAAACTTAAAAACTTGTAGCGGGTTAAGTGGCCACCCACAGTGAAAGCTTTGCCTGCAATATCTACTAACTTATATCTAACAAATCGTTAATTCTAAACGCAACAGCCGTCGAATACTCGCGGATTAAGACTCATTACTATTTTATGATAACCGCTTACATACATTGTCATTGGCAGTAACCTCGAAGGAATAAGATTACTTTAAATTGAAATCTCATCTTGAAATTTGCAGTTTATTTGTTGCCTGCATTTCATTTATATTCACTTTGTACATCGCCATTCCCAGTAACAATGTTGACCTACACACACACACACACCAACACACACAGCAATGCTATGATGCAGTTATGTAGTGCACTGCAATGTCCAGTGACTCTTAAGCGCACGCTGTCAACTTGCAACAGACTTACCCAATTGAAAAGAGCTGCCCTCCGGAAAGATCAAATAACGACGTTTGCGAGAGAGTAAATGGTCCGGCGTAGCGGATGGCCCCATTGCCACCATCGCCTCTTCCTGTAATTTGTGCGCCAGCAGCTGCTCGAAGTCATCGGCGATGTTGTTGTTGATGCTGTTACTGTTTTTGTGCATCGCTTTGTTGCTGCCATCGCTGTCAATGGATTTTGCATGCAATGTTGTAGTGGCAACACTGTCATTATGCGGCAACACTTCATCAACAAAAGCGGATGCGGATGTTGTCCTTGCAGCTGTCGCCGGCTCAGCCGCCGTTGTTGCAGCTGCTGCAGCTGCTGCAGTTCCTCCAGCAATCTCACTTGTAGTGTCCGCAGTTACTGTTGTTGTTGTTGTTGTCGTCGTTTTTGTTGCCACTGCTGTTGCTGACACAATAATTGTCGCAATTTGCTGGTGCGGCCATCGTGGTGGCAAGTGTTGTGACAGTGTTGCCAATAAATTGAACAAAATGAAAAATTTCTGCGTGCAGCGCGTATGCATTTTTCACAGCATTTATTTATCTGTTGGAAATTGAAAATTATTTTTAATAATCTGATTTTTATTTTCGATTTTCTTGCGGCGAAATATTTTTGTACGTAATTATTATTTTTTCAGTGTTTGTATTTCCAAACAAATTACAAATTCAATATTTTCACTGCACTCTGCATTAATTTGGCCAAAAAACAGTTACTTCATTGCACATGCCGACTCATCACAAATCCAACTGTCCGCCAGTCGACTTCATCTAAATACGAGTATCAACAAAATTCTAGCTGCCTGCCTCGTGTCCATTCTTTTTGTTGGCCTTCTTCTGTTGGTCTTCTCGTTACTAATTATTTTCTATTTGCGCTGCTTCTGGCCATAGATTTATTTCGTTTTCCATATATGCACCACTGCTTGTGTGTATATGTTGGCTTATGTGTGTGTATGCTGACAGTAAATGTTGTTAATTGCTTTTAAAATTTCTTTTCTTGCTTTGTTTTTTGTTTTGTTTGCTTTTAAATTTTTTATTTGGTACTCAACTTGCCTGGCCATGGTTAAGCGTTGCGCTGCTACGCGAAGGTGGTGGCAGAAAATGTACGAGGAAATGAAAAAAGCTGGATTTAGTTCATTAAAACTATTAAATGATGCAAAAAAAAAAACAAATACTACAAAAATTCGAGGGAAGGCTAGAAAGAATTTTGAAACACATAAATACGTATCTATATATGTATGCGAAGAAAGGTCTCGAAAAATTTGACCCTTTTACTTTACGTGGAAATATACATAAATATATATGTATGCTTGCTTAAGAACTTTATTCGAATACAGTTATTTGTCAGATTAGGATGGCGGCTGTTGTGGATATCTGGTCCGAGCAATATCTAAATTGGAAAAAGTTTTTGAAGTGAAACTTCTTTAGCGCCGGTTGGTTGGTTGGGAGTAAATTGGCAAATTCAACGGAAATGGTGATAAAATAATCGATATTTTTATCGATTTTGTTATGGATGTTTTTACCGATTTTGTAATCTATATTTTTACCGATTTTGTTATCGATATATTTTTCCGGTTTTTATCGATTTTATCCATATTTTTATCGATATTGTTACCGATTCGCTATCGATATTTTCGGAACTTATCGATAAAATAATCGTCTCCTAGATCGCGAAGGTTAGGCTAAGGGACTACCAGTCTTTGACCCCAGCCGCGTATATCTGTATGTAGGTAGGTAAACGGACGGTTCAAGGGTGGATAAAAGAGCAGCGGTAGTTGTCTATGGGCCCAACACCAAATTTGCAATTTCCAGTGGCAGTAATTCATACGTCCACCGAATTAAACCTTGAAAAGGATTCAAGGGCGCCTTTCTAATTATCTTTTAAGATAGTCAAGCGGCTGCTGCTGGTCCTCTCAAACATGTTGACGAAATCTCAACTTGCTAAAGACTGCTTTAACACGCATCAAGTTATGGCAACAAAAAACACTGTAACTATGTGGTGGGTGCCGGGCCATTGTGGGATCGAAGGCAACGAGGTCGCTGACGAGCTGGCGCGAGAGGGATTAACGACGTAAAATCGGAGAAGGTGACAGCTGACACGATCTATCTTATGGGATTTGCGTGTTAACGAAAACTCACCACCGCATGACGGTGACGGTTGTCGTTGCTTCTTTCTCCCTCTATCAACGGGAAATATGATATCTTTCTCTGTCCGTGGAACTAAGTTTACGCTAAGTCTTCGAGGGTCAGCGCTATAATGCAGGTATTAGGTATTATTGTAGAGTCGGAATACCGCGAATGCCTTGAGGAAGAGGTTACTTCCGAATAGATTTTTTTTTAATGAACTTCAAAGCTCCATTCGTCGAGCCCTTCGAAACAAATAATTCGATTAACGTGGAGCTTTAAGGATTATCTAGGGAAGCCGGGGGTATCTTGGACATACTGCGTTTCGGACCTTTCAGGTCGCAGAGTGTCTTGATCTGACCAACCCGTACATTTATTTATCTATCTATGTAGATATGTTCTTTATACAGTCTTAAAATAAAACTAGTAAATCCTCAGTCAATGTTCGAATAATTGAAAAGCTGTACCTCTGACCTTTAATTTAGTAATAATTTCCTAACGATCGAAAAATATTTATCAAATATCTGACGAAAAAACTCGATACATCGCTAGTTTTTTCTTACTTTTTTATTCATTTGTAAAAATAACTTAAAAATATAAGTAAACGGAGCTGAGTACCGAGACTTAATAAATGGCCTCAAATAATTAGTCTCTTCGGAAGATCCTTTGAAGGAGTTCGAAACTGGACAATGATACTCTCTACTCAGCTTCGAAAGGAGCATATGTGTCCTTTGCAAACTTCGCTGCATACCTATTCTTATATTCCTTATTTATTATTTACTGAGTTTAAGTTTGAAAGCATTTTAGCAACTGCAACTTCTGCAAAAATTCGCATTTATTCGCAAACAAAAGCCAATCGAGGTCATATCCAAACCCATCGATCTAATACAAAAATATGGCCTAGAAATATGAATCACATTCTTGTCTTTTGCTGAAAAAAAATGTTTTTGTGGACGTATTGTATCTGATGTATAAATTTGCCCATTTTCTCATTCAGTGCTTCATTTTGTTACTTAGCAGAAAACCACACATAATTTTGATAAGATTTGCNTGAAATGTCGAGGTCATATCCCAACCCATCGATCTAATACAAAAATATGGCCTAGAAATATGAATCACATTCTTGTCTTTTGCTGAAAAAAAAAAAATGTTTTTGTGGACGTATTGTATCTGATGTATAAATTTGCCCATTTTCTCATTCAGTGCTTCATTTTGTTACTTAGCAGAAAACCACACATAATTTTGATAAGATTTGCATAGTAAAAATACTCCTCTATGCGACTACACTTCTCAATGTTGCCTACTCAATTCAAAGTAACACTGGTTTCCGATAGTGATTCTCTATTGGATTTTAAATGTGATATTATTATCTGTTTTAATGTTGGTTCCTTAGTAAGTGAGGTCGTCAACTCTTTCGAAACTATAGCTGCCAACAGGAGCGTGAGTGCCAAGACGCTATATGCGCTGACTTTTTGCCTGGTAACAACAGATGCGTCATTTTGTCCTCACTTGCGTCTGTATCTAACTTCGAGAAGGCGTTTGCTGTTACCGACGAGGTACAGATTTTAACTGACCAAATAAGTTCTGCAGCTCCTATTACTTATCTTATCAAGCAGCAGACTAAATAAATCACACAAAAGGTAGTCGCACTATCTAAACCCGCGTTTGGTATCAACCAGCTTGGAGAGATGTCTTTCGCAAGTCTGGCGGAGCCGTTGGTGTTTTTGAACGTGATTTTAGACGTATAAGTTTCGCAGGGAAATAAGATTCAGGCATATAGGAAGCTTCTTTTCATGCTGTAGTAGAAAGCGGCCTTGAGATCGATAAATAGATGATTTGCTATTCTTGCGGGTCTGTTCCAATGTTTAGCGAATTGTGAATACCTGCATCCAACTTTTGCTGTCGCTAAAAAAATAGCAGGTACGCCTAACAATATGCAACATCTAGTTAAATGCCCCTAATGCTTCCAGATTTGATGATGATGCTGGATTCCAGTCGATGGGCTCCAGCAGTTTTTTTTTTTGTTTTTCAGCTGTGAAATAGCAAATTCATGCCCCGTCATAGTCAAGCATTGGAACATCGATTTCATCGTCTTTGACTGGGGGCTCGGGCTCATCTCCTCCGCTGGTTTCACCATTGTTACCACTCAAAAGAGTGTTGAAGTTCCTCCTCAAATTGAGTGCGTTCTGGATTTCGGTAAGTAGGTCGGCGTGATTGTTCTTACAGGAGTTAGCCCTGGTCTTGTAGTTTTCCGTAAAACGCCAAAATTTCTGATAAAATTTTCTGGAAAAATGGATAATGTATTCTCTTTATGCTGGCCCTGAAAAGTCCTTTAAGTCTTCTATAAACTTTGATTGCGTTCTCCCACAAAATTGAAATATTGAATTAATTCTGTTTATTATTAAACCTGCGATGTGTACATATTTTCTTTCCGTTTAGTCGTAAAATTTTTCGCTTTAAAGTACACATTTGTTGTTTCTTTACCTATTTGCTTTGCTCTTTTTCCATGATAATTTATCTTGCTCTACGCTCTCAGCGAACAACCGCAACGCCACTAAAACTTTCCGCATTTAGATTTTTCTTGCAATTTTTCATTTCACAGAGTATTCAACGTCTTTTTATTTTATTTTTTAAAAACAATACGCTTTGTTAGAGTATATTTTTCCAAGTACTTATTTCATATCTTACCAGTATTTTGTACATATTTAGGGGTGTCTTATGTGTGCACATGTAATACTGGTGCATCATTATCATTTGACCATCCCAGCATTTCTATGTTACAGTAAACCTAGGGGGGGTTTGAACCCCAAAACCCACCCCTTGTGTGCGCTAATGCTACCCAGAATGATATTTTATTTTGTTTTATTTTTATTCTTTTTGCCACTTTGTTGTATTCTTTCGTTGAGTGTTCCTTTTTTATAAATCTTTATTTCAATTAATAGTTGCGTTGTTTTTTATTCGCATTTTTTCGCACACAAAATGTGCAGTTTCTCAACGCATCAACTAACGAAAAAGCGGAATTTGATTCCTATTCCAAATTACTACTTATTTGTTTTTACCTGCATGTATTTTGTATTTTATTTTTCTATTTTTAGTATATTGTTACCCTAACACAGGCGAATGAATTTAGTCTGCGTTCTGATGTACATATCTCCCAACACTTTTCTGCTTCAATTGTTGTCTGGCTTCTTGATAGTCCGGTCTTCTACTTACTCCGCAGTTTTACTATACTACTATTTTTTTATTTAATTTATTTTTGTTGCTGTTGTAGTGCACTTAATTTGTTGCATCAATGTAAACCCATCCACACAATGTGGATTAAATTTCTACTCCTTGCAATTTTCCTTCGCGTCCACTGTGCCATAGCTTTGATTGGAGCAGTTCAAATTCTAAACGTGTCTTTGCTTCAAGCGGTCTTCTACAATGACCTGGCATGTAGTGGCACTTGAATTTGTTTTTAAACGCTTCGCCTGCACAATGGTGCTCAACCTTGCCATCTAGTCCGTGCTCCTCTTTAGCTGACTTTTGTGTATGTATTGATTTCGTTGTCAGTTAGTTGACCAGTTTTATTTGTTTTTGCACATCTGCCTCGAAATAAAGATGTGTTAGTATGTATTTATGCAACTATATGCAGGTATAAAAATCAACCATACCAGAATTTATAAAAAAAAAAAAAACTGAATACAACAGAGTCTAGTTGCATCGACACCGAAGTGGGTGGTTTATGTAGCGAATTTTTTGCTTGTCTGCTCTTAATTTTGCTCTATTAGCATTTTAATTGCTGTGGAATTCAAAACGCTTCAAACCTCAGCAACTTTTAATACCAACACTTTTTGATATGGGTAATAAGGTGGGCGAGATTGCAAGGATAATAGTATTTGATGGGATTTGTCCTGTATGTTGGTGGGAATTGTAGATTTTAGTTCCAGCAAAGAAATGATAAATGGTGAGAAACTTTAAGCGGAAGTGCTTTTGACTTTTTTCTTTAAAATTAAAGACAAAGCGTAAGGAATAGCTCGAGGTTTTCGCGACCAAGGGCTGTTGTTTCCGGGATCTAACGCGGTTTAGATTGGCTAACTGTACTAAGCGCTGTTCGCATCTGGAGGAACGCCTTAACCAGATATTTATTTCTACTGCGTATCACAGAACAGGCTTCATCCAAACTCCTTTTCGATTAATTGCAACTTTTACATTACATAGGGAGTGGAGAATAAACTATGTGGCCACTTGTTGTTCAAGCCGGACGGCACAGCCTGCACCCACGAAGCCTCCTTGGTTCTTCAGGGCTCACCCGAGCAAGAAGTTAACCACCAACATCAGACATCATACATCAGGCAACATACCCTGCAGTAAAGGCAACAGCACCAAGGTAGTCAATTCCACCTACGTATATCTCTCAACCCAGTTTAGCGACCAGCCTTCCAAGGCACATGAAACTCTCAAAATTTAACTTCAACGAGTCGGGATGATATCTTCCATTAAGAAACGGAGTATTTTGCACAGCAGGAAAGGTTAGGTAGTTGTAGGGCAGACCCAACAAGGAGGACTCATTTATACATTAATTACTGTTCATTGTGTTACCACATTACGCATATTAATTTGAACGGTAACTACAGGATCTCTGAGTTAAAGTAAGAGCAGCGCTGGGTGCTCAAAACGAAGCTCCGCAGGCAGCTTATGCTCACACTGGAGAGCTTTTCGGGAGTATTGATGAAATGCGACCGAGCTGCTTTAACCATAGTCTAGCGAATGGCGGGCAGATAAAAGGAAGTACTGAGATGTTTCCATTTCGTCTTCTAAACAGCTGCGGCAGTAGAGATCCATGACGAAATTAAGTCACAGCGCGTGGGTTCCTAAAGGACAATGTCCGGTCAGTAGACCTCTAAGAATCAAAAGGTGGCGCTTAGCCAGAAGCAGTAGCCCCCTTGACTGCCTGCGGTCAATAACCGGCCAGAAAGACTTTCTAACTTTGCATGTTGGTGTTTTTCCCAGCGCTCACGGAGCCCACTATGAGCCCTTCTGTACAGAAGCAGGCCGCAGATTGCCAAAGAAACTCCTATGCCCTGCCTGTACGGAATGATATCCTAGACGGTGCCCTGCCTAGCCAATACATCGGCCCTGTTATTTCCAGTGATGTCACTGTATATTGGGGCCTAAAATAGCTTGATTTGGAGGTATTTCGAGGCGGTTGAGAGAGAGAGGTAGGGAATTCCTCGACCCGTTTCAATCGTACTATGAGCGATCCCAGCGCCCTGATTGCCGCTTGGCTATTAGATTAGATATTTATCCTCCTAGTCGGCGGAGAATTGGTACATAGCCAATCGGCTGCCTCTTTAAGAGCGGCCACCTCCGCATGAAAGACGCTGCACAGATCTGGCAGTCTGAGCATAAAATCTGAGAGTAGACAAATCCTCCAACTCGTCCGTCCAGGATCTATCAGTCCTTGAAAGTGTTTGTACACCTCTACTCTAAAAACTGCCATTCTTCCATTCGCCCTTGAAGGGATGTGACAGTAGACACCTCAACCAACTCTCCCGTACAGGCTCGATCCGTCCGTGAAAGTGTTTGTAGGACCTCTACTCCATAGACTGCCATTCTCCCATTCGCCCTTGCGAGGGATGTGCGATAGAAGGAGCCGTTTATTGCCAGCCTCAGAACACTCCGCTTAATTTTTTTCAGGTAGGAAGTCGAAGCTTATGAGATTTGTCGAGTGCGATTATGCTGGGTTGAATGAGAAACCTTTAGCTTTTGAGTCTAACGGCTGAGTGAATCGCCACTACTTTGCCCGAAATATAAACAGGTGAGGCAGAGCATAGCACTTAGCGCTAGAGGTTGGAATGACCCGAGTCGCTTCGCTGATTCCAACGTGACCGCGTTCTAACTTCCTAATAAGAGTAGTCTTTTCCAGTGAATTCCAGTGAAGAGTAGCCTATTTCCAGTGTGACCAAGTTAAGGTATCCAAGAACTTTCCTAGAGATTATTTTGCGGAATACTAGCAAGTTATGCCAAAGTGACCACTTTCTTCAAGTTTAAAGCGATTTATTGAAAGTCTACAGACGTCTGGACCAGTTACAAATTTGATGATATTGAAGTCCTGATATTGGTCCTGCAATTCACTATCGCCCGCATTCTTGTGAGCTTCCTAAGCTTGATTTAGAGGTCCATGTACCACAAGCCCTGCGTCAGCCAAAACAAGTTTGAAACGTGGAACATACCTTAAGTGTATATAGCGGGTAGATAAATTTCATTGCTCGACGGTATGATGCCACGCGCAATGCCCAAACCTCAAAGCCGTAGAGGATCACGCAACTTTTAGTGAGATGGCTGAAATACAACACAGCTGGGTATGAAGGGAAGAAGGAGGAGACCACCGAACACATTGCTTCTCTGCTCAAACCCTTGGCAGAAAATTTTTTGAAAAAAAGTGTTGCTTCAAATTCAGCTCAATATCCTTTTTGTAGTCAGGCAGGTTCTGCAATTCACTTCCGAGTGAATTTCAAACAAATTAAACTCAAATTGGCCTGAATAATGTGGATCGAGAGATTAATATCTTGCCAGAAGACAAATTAAAAATGAAACTAGATAGCAGAAGTGGATTTGTAGAAGTAATTCACTGAAAACTTCAAAATTTTTCTATATTACTTTAAGAGTTTTAAAATCGGTTTTAGTGACTCCTTTTAACCACGAAAACCGCCAAAAAAGGGAGAAGAAAAGTCACAACGAAAGAAAAACCCCTGTGTACTGTGTGAAATCTGAAATAGTGAAAAAGTGCTGAAAAACAATTCCAGTTGAAGAAATTCCGCAGCTTGCCAGTTGGGTATACTTTTTTTTTGTTTTTTTTTCATTTTTTATCAACGCGTTTCTCTTACATCATTTTTTATGCTGTCATTTTAGTTAGTCCCAAATGCTATGCTCACACATGGCAAAAAGTTGTGCACAGTTGCCGCGATGTGCCTGCGCCTCCCGATACGGTCGGTCAACAATGTGCAAGTCGGTGGGGTGTAGTGCAGGTTCCTCGAACTCCACTGATTCGCCGCTACTACTGACGTCAGCTGTGGGCAGCACAAATATGGCGCGTAGCAGTTCCGTGATGAAACTTTGAGGTTCCGCTGTATCAGTTTGTCGTTGTTTTATATGTTGCTGTCCAGTTTCGCACAGTGCGCGCAATACACAGGCGGAGCCATTTAGTCCACGACTGCAGAGTGTTCATAAAGCGAGAAAATAAAAAAACAAAATCGAAAAATTGTTAAAAATTCAGCAGAAAAAACTTTGAAATTTTTACATCCACTCACGTTTCATAGAGCTTCTCAATTTTGCCAAACAACTTTTGCCGCGTACGCAATTGCTCACGCAAATGTATACGCTCCAGCTTAAGTTCGAAAGCGTTCAATTTAGCATCGTTGCTGCTGCTGCTGCCACTACTACGCCTCCGTCGTCGTCGCCGACCAAAAACTGGATAGATTTTAGCTTTGGGTCTTGTTGTTAGTATCGGGCGTTGAGCACTATCAAAGCTGCGTGCTTCCACTGCATCGGCTTTTGATTTGATTGTGGTATCAGTGCGTCGAAGTCCCTCACTTGGTGGTGCATATGCCACAACTGGTTCGCGTGTTTGCGCCGGCACCTCAGGAATGCTGTAAGTAGCGGAAAAATTCGGTATTAAATTGGGTTTTTAATTTTACTCGTATATGTTTAAGTATATGAATGAATGGGGCCTGCAGGGCAGTTGAAAAATAGGAAAATGCAAATAATTCCAGTTTGATGATTTATTGAAACAAGTAAATAAGTCCAAGTTCGCACGAACCTCCACTTTTATACTTGAGCTATTTTGCATTATAAAATATTGAATTCAGGCTTAATTTTGTTCTTAATACTTTACGCTTTTGCGACGTCGAATACAGCAGATTATGGAAAGTTCAGCTGGATGAGCTTTAACAAGACAGCGACATAATAAAGTGAACTATGATACTCTTCCTTGACTATATCGAAAGAATGGATGCGATTGCTCCGGCCCTGAATGAATTCGATGCGATATCCACTGGAGGTGGTAAAAAAAGAGGAAGACTTCCTCTGCTTTGGAAAGATCAGGTGAAGGGGTAGCAAAAAAAAGAATCAACTGACGTTCTTTGTTGAACACAGCCAAAAAGAAGAAGAAGCCAAGGAAAGCTGATATTCCGTCGAGGTTGGATCTATCAGATATTATGTGCAACTAAAGGTTAGAATGGGATGCAAGTTGATATAGAATATATGGCAGATACATATATATATCGGTGCCTATTCCAGAGAGAATATCTTTCCCTATAATAATATTCTGGATATTTTTCACATCAAAGTAGCTGTAGGCTGGTGCACTAATTTTAAGTTTAACGAATTGTTAGGTTGGGTAAGGTGGCAGTCCTCCAAGGGGCTAGCTTAGACCGTTAATGACAGCATGAATTCCCATTGGGCAGTGCTCAGTCAGAACCCGCAGAACCCCTGGAGTTTTCGCTTAGTAAGAAGTTTCTTAGACCGCACAGGATCAACTACCGTCCAAAAGGATCTTGCAACTTTAAACATCGAGGTTTCCGCCCGGCATTTGCTGAGCCGACTAAAAGCCCATTTGTCCAGAATCACTGCGCAGGTTGCCATAAGTACCCCAACGACCTCCCTTAAGTTGGTGAGGGCTTCTAAGGCGTCATGTCTGGCCAGTTGATCGAAACAAGGGTTCCTGCAATTTCGCTGTTCTCCAGAGTCCAAATCAGTGTGATGATGATGATGAATTTTCCGAAGATAGCCGAGTACCGTACTCTGTAGAAAGAGAATCCAGCATGCTTCAGCCTCATTTCAAGTGAGTCCCACAAGGCAATGGCCCCATACAGCATAATAGGTTTAGTGATGGTTTCATTCAGCCAGAAGATAAACTTCGGGGAGATTCCCTTCTCCTCCTATTTTTACAGCAGTAAAGGGCAACCTCACAAACACCTCGATATTCACCTCCCACATCAGCTTTCTATTAAGAATCACTCCTAAGTATTTGACTTTATCAGAAAGCACAAGCGGGGTGCCACCTATGGGCATCAATGACCTTGTATCTCCTGGTGAGCAAGACCAGCTCTGTCTTTTCAGGATTAATAGCGAGCACGAAGCTTGCAGACCAGTTTGTGACCAAATTTAGGTAGAGTGTTCAGAAATTTACCTCTGATAGTAAGTGCCGCATCATCGGCATAGGCGATCGCCTCTCCTTTCCACCGCCTCCAGGATATAATTAATGACAACGACCCAGATGAAGAGAGAGAGAACGTCCCCATTCAGCAATGGCAGTTCTGTTGCAGAGCATGCGTGAGATAAGCGCAAATAGGTTGGTCTCAACTCCGAGCTTACATAGGGCCTTCATAATCACCACTGAATATTAGGTCTCGCTCAAATATACAGGATGGCCCTAACCGCGAAGTCTTTGCTTTCCAAAGACTTTTCTGTAACCTTAACATCATATCGCAGACCGGATTCCTGCCTGCTAAGAGAAGCTTAGTCTCTCTCGAGCAATCCTATTTCTTATATGTATATACATAGGTCAATTGGCCTCTTCAACACCTTTAGTAGAAAGGACGAGAGACTGATTGGCCTGAAGCCCTTCGGGGATACGTGAGAGGACTTTCCTGCTTTGCGAATAAAAGTTACTCTCACCTTCCTCCAGACTAATTGGACACATCCTCTATCTTTGCAGCTCACGTGGAAAGGAGTCAGCCACAAGCATGCCAACTCCGCCACTTTCTGCAGCTGAGCAGGAATTAATTTAGAGAAAAATAAACGTGGTAAAATACTAAACTGCAATTAATTTCACTTTGACTTTTTAAAAGGCACAACACATCTACATACATACATATCTACCCACCGCACATTTTCATCTCGCCAATTAGCTGGCTTTGCACTCCAACTGTTCGTAACATGTTGCTTGTTGCGCTGCCACCAATTGTCCGTCCCTGCAAATTTTGAATGAGCTGCCCATTTTTGTTGTTGCTGCCCCCATTTCGCATGTTTCTGCTGTGGCCGCTGCTGATATGGTTGCCAGTTGCTGTCATAATCCTGCCATGATTGCCACTTTTTGTATTGTGGCTGCTGTTGGTGTTGCCAAAGATTGGCAAATTTCACTGGCTGCTTATCGGTTGAATCGCCACCAGCTGAATAGCCAAAAGGCTTTTGGTTCTTGCTATTACTGCTACTGTCGCTGACACCATAGTAACTTGGCTTTTCACTTTTATCAGCCAAACGGTATTTGTACGTTGGACTGTAGTATTTGTTGTTGTTGTTGTTGTTATAGTTGCGGTTGTTGTGCGTGTTAGCATAATAGTTTGACGGCCGATAAGCACCATCACCAGGGTAGTAGTGTGTAACGGGTGACTCTTTATGATTGACATTAAATCCAGTGATGGGCGAGGCGAACGGATTGGATTGACGTGTCGTCGTATAGTACGACGCTTCCATGGCATTTAGTGGTGACAGCGCTGGCGGTGGCAATCGCTGAGACTGTGTTGCCAGCACCTGCGCCTGTTGCATATTTTCGCCATAGTTGATGCCGGTAAACGCAGCCACATTTGCATTGTCAACATATTTGATGCCTGCGGGGGCCATGCCATATTTTGTATCGCCGACTTTGTTTGCATCCACACTA